CCCCAAAACCCCAAAACCCCAAAACCCCTTGATTAAGAAATGTTAAATTTAGCGAAGAAAATTTAATTAATTATTTGAAAAAATGCATAGACCGGACAGTTAAACAGAGATAATCAACACCTATCTCAGAGAAAAAATAAATAACCCTCTTATTTATGAGGAGGTAGAATATGATAAGTCTGAATGGGATAACATACCCTGGATTATTCCTAGGTATTGCATTCATTTGTCCAAGCATTTGGAATCGTTAACAGAACATTATAAGGAAAAATGCTCTGAAGAGACAACCAAAGAACTTAGAGAATCACTTACTGCTGATATTTAAGTTGCTGAAAATCTTGTTTATTAAGAGAAGCATGATCGTGAGTATAATTGCTAGAGACTATAAGATGAAATTAAAAAAGTTAAAGATGAACTAGGGGAACTTAAAGAGAAACTTTAGAGAGAGAAATTTGATTGTGTTATGAAAGCAAGATCTGGATTAGTTGAAAATTTAGTAAAGGATGAGAGAGAAAAATAGAGAATGGAATTTGAATCTCGGAAATTTTTATAGAACGATACTTTCTTGAACAAAGATAATAAAGATTATGTTGAGCCTAGACAATTTTCAATCTATCAAATAAGAGAACTATTCTTTTCATTGTTGCATATTTCAAAATTTCGAGAAACTTTTTGGGATCATTAAGAATTTTTTATCAAAATAAAAACAGAGATAAATTCCTAGATAAATGAGTTTAGGGAGAAAATTAAGTAATAGGCTGAGGTAAATGAAGATTTTAAACTTTAGTTTAGTGATAATAAAAAAGAATATCATGATCATCTGAAAGAGTACTATAGAGTATTAGAACAAGATCATGACTCATTGACTTTTTTAAAAGATAAATAAAAGCACATGCTTAGAGAACTGGATGATAATAAAGGATTTTAAGACCTATGTAACAGCAAATTTGAGAAAAACAATCTTAGATTGACTTCTTTAAATGAAAAATTTGAGGGTAAGCTTGAAAATATGAAGCAAAAATTCGAATAACTAGTAAAAGAAAATGATAAAAAACTATTTGACCTAAAAGATTCCATGATGTAGTCAATTGAAGTCACAAAGCATCACATATATGATTAAATAGATTATGTGAAAGATTAATAGACACAAGTCATGAGATAGGAGCTTGACTAGTATTCATCAAAAATAGAGGAATTTAAATAAAAACTAGTGGATAAAATGCATCTTTTAAATACAAAGACAAAGGAAAAGATCATTAAAATAAAGGAGATATGCTCTAATTTCTTCAAAAGTTATGAGGACTCTTTAATTCAGATGAAAAATTAGTTTGTTGAAGTTCATGATGCTTTTCAATCTTGGAATCGGAATGTAGTCTAGCCTAACTAAGTAAAAGAGGCTACATTATATTCACTAGAGCAACGTATGAACATAGAAGAATCATAGTGAATTAATGATTCTATGCTAGTCAAAGATGTAATCAATAAATTCATTTTCTCAATGCATCAACATATACTTACACAATAACTACTTAAGAAAAACAGAAATTTATCCAAAGCAGAAGAATTTTCAGAGAATTTAGAATTTGGAGACTTCAAAAGTTAAGATGTGCATTTCAGAGAAAGATCTCAAAATCTTAGAATGCATAAAAGTTAGAAAGTAGAGTTGAACTCGTTATCTCTTAAGTAGCAACCAAGTGGTGGCTCTCCATCTAGGTAACAGTTTTTTAATAGAGAGCAAGAGCTGATTGATATAGAAGCAGAAAATGCTTCAAAAGCTGCTGAGCTTCTTCTGGCAAAGAGACTCTTATTTTTGCGTCAGAAATTGAACACAGTATCTGAAAAGTAAAATGATGAAAACCTATTGAATTACAATGATCCTAGTGCTATTAACAACAATAAGAGATTGATTGCTGATGACTCTTATAATATACTCTAGAAGTTTAATAAGAAAAAGAGAAATGACAATAACAGATTTGTGAAATCATAGTAGGTTTCGCCTATAAATTCAGGAAGTTAGAGTGTTAATCTTGGAAATTTGAATTTCTCTTAGCAAGCCCAAATTGTTTCCTCTAATTTGAAAGTACCTCCACTCCTAGGCTAAATCAATATTTAAGATAATAATATTAGTGAGTTGATCTAGAATGTAAATATACCTACTAATATAAGTTCTCAAAAAAAGATTAGTGTCAATATGGCTGGTATTAAGCATCTTAATCCTAGTGATAATCTTCTTAGTTAGGATATTAATGAAAGTTCATTGCAAAAGAGTTTTGACAATACTTCCTCTAAGACCTAAAAATTAAAAGATTCAAGTAGAGAAATAAACCAGCTTAAAAAGACTAGTACTTCAAACTTGAATCTAAATATTAATGACAAGAAAAATAGAATAGATAAGCTTAAAAATCTTTCCTTAAGTTAATTTGAGAAGAGTAAATTCATATCAGACTTTGATGTATAAAAGGAAGACGAGAAGTTATAATCAAAAATGCAGAAATAAAATAGCAAGCTGCGGCTTAAGAATCTAGATTATTTTGGTGCTATTGATAACAAAGTGAATTTCGATCAATGAATGGTTTACTTTATTTCTTAATTTTTGTTTAAAATATTCTAAAATAGAGACTCTTATTCATTATTAGGGGTTTTGGGGTTTTGGGGTTTTGGGG